TAAGAGTAAACCAATAAATAGGACAAGATGAGATCCAGGAAAACGGACAATCTAAATCAGGAGAGTATAAGGGAAATTCTTAGATGGTGACAGGAAGTCCCAAGGTAACAGTGGTGTAGTAGGCCTAAAATACATCCTCCAGATTGGGAGCAGAAAGGTGAAGGACTTGGGCAGACATGACTATATTTCTAATTCTGTTTGAATATATTGAAAGGGTATTTTTAGTTCTGTAGAAGATGTGAGAATGAAACTAAGAAGAAGAAAAAAAAATAGAGGCAATTACAAATCCTAGGAAAACAAAAAAATGTGTACAAATTGCAAAATATCATATTTAGCTCAGCTTTGAACATTATTTACTTAACACAATAGTATAAACACTGCCTATTGATTTAACTCAATTCAAAGTGATATACTTTTCCTAGAAGAAACTACTAAGAAAAAGAAGTGAAGGGGCACGAAATTATATTTCCCATCAAAGGAAGTCAATTGACAATATCTAAAACTTGAGAATCAAACAATTACAGTGAACACTCTCCCCACAGTGTTTAGAAATATGGAAGTAAATGCCGAAGCAGTAGTAAAAAGTTGCCAAGTAGTTAGTTAAAAGTAGTCAAAAGGGTGCTGGTGGTTGAGGATGAAGAGAGGTAAGGTTAAAGGAGAGTGATTAGTTGTCAGAACACTGGTAACCCCACCTTATTTTTCAGGCAATATACATGTGTGACTCTGATAAGAATAAATATTTGGGCTGGCAGTGGCATGGTGGTTGAGACACTGGACTCCCACATGGCCGACCGTAGTTCGAGTCCCAGTCCTGGAGGCTTGCTTTCCTACTTTCCCTTTCTTTCTCTCTCTCTCTGTTTCTCTCTGGTCAAATTAAACAAATAATAATGATGATCATAAAAGAAATAAGATAATTCTTTAAAAAGTAAATATTAATTTTGAAGCATGAGGTATATTGACACCAAACCAATATTTTCCAGTTAATATAACCATAATGACTCAAAGACCATGGTTCAACGTTTTTTAAAATAAGTCTACACTCCTCTTGAAGCTGTCTCTTATACTACCAATGGCATTAACATAGATTTTCATGCCTAGAGAACAGTCTGCAAAATCTTCCTTGGAGCGAGTACATGGACAAGAGACCTGTGTTGCCACTTCAAAGACTGTAACTTGCCAAAATTGATTCAAGAATTAATTAAAAAAAAAAAACCTGCCTAGTCCAATCATCATTAAAGCTAGCAGATCCTATACTTTGAAATTTTCCACAAGATAAACATCAGGCCCAGATCTTTTTTTTTTTTTTTTTTTTTTTTTGGAGAGGTTTTCACTATAGGGTATGTGCGCTCGCCAGACAGACAGAGAGAGACATAGAGACAGAAAGCGAGAAATCATCCCCCAGTGGGGATGGCCACGCCGCAATCCCTTCTCCTCCATTCTCCTCTCGGGATCTTGGGCATGCACGCACACGCGCCCGGCGTGAGTTCTAAGCCACCGGGTCCGGGACACGAACCGTGGTCGCCTACGTGGGAGTCCAACAACATAGTCATTACGCTAACTGCTGGTTCCCAGGCCCAGATCATTTTAAGGCAAGTTCTAGACAACTCTGAAGGCATACATTCCTCCAACCTTACTAAAATTTTCTGAGAAAAGAGAGATAACAAGATAATACCTCCAACCATTTGGGATTCAAATAATCTTTCTTTTAATAATTATTTTAAATTTTATTTATTATATATTATTATTATTAATGTTCTACAGAGCATGAAAGCTTACCAGAGAGAGACAGAAAGAAAGTGAGAAAGCAAGTCGCCCCGTCCAAGACTAGAATCACAGTTGACCAAGTGTGAGTCCGGCGCCTCAACTACCATGCCACCCACTGGCCCTGAGACTCATAAAATCTTGATATCAAAATAAAACAAGGGCCATATAAGAAAGGAAAAGGATAGTCCAACCTCATTCACGGAAATGAAAAATCTTAAGTATCAACAAAAAGAAGCTAGCTCTATATCAATGATGATAAACGTGCTGTTTTTTAAAAAGCATTTCATTTTAGGATAAAATACGAAGGGAGCCCAGCATTTTGCAGCAGGCAAATTCATGGTGTTTATAGTGGAACACCCTGTGTGGGTCTGAGATTGCAAAGAGCAGGAGGTGACCAAAAACTGAGAATCTGTGTGGCCTGGAAAGCCTTCTCATTCTTACAGGTTCCTGATGTTAGGAAATAGTACATGGAGAAATGGGCAGAGGCTAGTCCTGAACCATCTCTGTTTTAAAGTAGAGAGGAAGAAATAAAAAAATAAAAATTGGGCTGGCCCCCTGGGACAGTGGTTAAGTGAGCTGGATTCCATATAGCCCACTGTGGTTCAAATCCTAGCCCCAGTGGCTTGAGAAACATACCAGGCGTGTGTGCATGTGTGCTCAAAGTCCCCATGAGAAGGAGAAATGGAGGAGAAGGGATTGCGGCATGACCACACCCCACTGGGGGATGCTTTCTCCCTATCCCTCTTTCTGCCTCTTCCTGGTGAATGTGTGTGCCCTGTTGGAATTTAAAAAAAAAAAAAATATTTTTGAGAGAGTTTAGCTATAGGGCATGTGTGCTAGCAGGTGAGACAGAGAAAGTGAGAAGTCATCCCCCGGGGAAATGGCCACACTGCAATCCCTTCTCCTCCATTTCCTATCGGGATCTTGGGCATGCCCACACATGCACCAGGTGTGAGTTTCAAGCCACCATATCTGAGACTCAAACCATGGTCCACCATTTGGGAGTCGAGCACTTTAAGCACTATGCACCTGCTGGCCCCACAATTAAAATTGAAAAAAAAAAAAAAAAGAAGGAAAAAAAAGAAAATGATAACAAATCCGATTTGAGGCTAGTGTGTTCTCATGGGATGGAGAGGGCTCTTTGACCAAGTCACCATGTTTGAGAGACAGTAGCTCTGCCTGCGATCTCAGCCTTTCATGAGTATACCCTGCTGACTTCATAACATAGGGAGACAGAGACCCCATACACCAAGCACTGCAGGCTTTACGGGTCATGACGCAGCTCTCAGCTGTGCAGAGTGGTTTGCTTTAAACCGGATATTGCAAATGAACTTGGGGTCTTCTCTAAACCTCTTCCCTGAGAAAGGAATTATGTGTGTGGCAGGCGCATATTCCTTAGGGTGAGAGAAGCAATACTTACTGTGCACGAAATATAGCGAGAAATCATCCCCCAGTGGGGATGGCCACGCCGCAATCCCTTCTCCTCCATTCTCCTCTCGGGATCTTGGGCATGCACGCACACGCGCCCGGCGTGAGTTCTAAGCCACCGGGTCCGGGACACGAACCGTGGTCGCCTACGTGGGAGTCCAACAACATAGTCATTACGCTAACTGCTGGTTCCCAGGCCCAGATCATTTTAAGGCAAGTTCTAGACAACTCTGAAGGCATACATTCCTCCAACCTTACTAAAATTTTCTGAGAAAAGAGAGATAACAAGATAATACCTCCAACCATTTGGGATTCAAATAATCTTTCTTTTAATAATTATTTTAAATTTTATTTATTATATATTATTATTATTAATGTTCTACAGAGCATGAAAGCTTACCAGAGAGAGACAGAAAGAAAGTGAGAAAGCAAGTCGCCCCGTCCAAGACTAGAATCACAGTTGACCAAGTGTGAGTCCGGCGCCTCAACTACCATGCCACCCACTGGCCCTGAGACTCATAAAATCTTGATATCAAAATAAAACAAGGGCCATATAAGAAAGGAAAAGGATAGTCCAACCTCATTCACGGAAATGAAAAATCTTAAGTATCAACAAAAAGAAGCTAGCTCTATATCAATGATGATAAACGTGCTGTTTTTTAAAAAGCATTTCATTTTAGGATAAAATACGAAGGGAGCCCAGCATTTTGCAGCAGGCAAATTCATGGTGTTTATAGTGGAACACCCTGTGTGGGTCTGAGATTGCAAAGAGCAGGAGGTGACCAAAAACTGAGAATCTGTGTGGCCTGGAAAGCCTTCTCATTCTTACAGGTTCCTGATGTTAGGAAATAGTACATGGAGAAATGGGCAGAGGCTAGTCCTGAACCATCTCTGTTTTAAAGTAGAGAGGAAGAAATAAAAAAATAAAAATTGGGCTGGCCCCCTGGGACAGTGGTTAAGTGAGCTGGATTCCATATAGCCCACTGTGGTTCAAATCCTAGCCCCAGTGGCTTGAGAAACATACCAGGCGTGTGTGCATGTGTGCTCAAAGTCCCCATGAGAAGGAGAAATGGAGGAGAAGGGATTGCGGCATGACCACACCCCACTGGGGGATGCTTTCTCCCTATCCCTCTTTCTGCCTCTTCCTGGTGAATGTGTGTGCCCTGTTGGAATTTAAAAAAAAAAAAAATATTTTTGAGAGAGTTTAGCTATAGGGCATGTGTGCTAGCAGGTGAGACAGAGAAAGTGAGAAGTCATCCCCCGGGGAAATGGCCACACTGCAATCCCTTCTCCTCCATTTCCTATCGGGATCTTGGGCATGCCCACACATGCACCAGGTGTGAGTTTCAAGCCACCATATCTGAGACTCAAACCATGGTCCACCATTTGGGAGTCGAGCACTTTAAGCACTATGCACCTGCTGGCCCCACAATTAAAATTGAAAAAAAAAAAAAAAAGAAAGAAAGAAAAGAAAATGATAACAAATCCGATTTGAGGCTAGTGTGTTCTCATGGGATGGAGAGGGCTCTTTGACCAAGTCACCATGTTTGAGAGACAGTAGCTCTGCCTGCGATCTCAGCCTTTCATGAGTATACCCTGCTGACTTCATAACATAGGGAGACAGAGACCCCATACACCAAGCACTGCAGGCTTTACGGGTCATGACGCAGCTCTCAGCTGTGCAGAGTGGTTTGCTTTAAACCGGATATTGCAAATGAACTTGGGGTCTTCTCTAAACCTCTTCCCTGAGAAAGGAATTATGTGTGTGGCAGGCGCATATTCCTTAGGGTGAGAGAAGCAATACTTACTGTGCACGAAATATTCTCTCAAACTCTGGTGACCCAGTGACTGCCGGGGGCATAACTTTGTATTTCAATCTCGCCTTTCCCACCTGCAAAGCAAAATAACCTGCAAGTAAAGAAAAATATTGTGTGAAGACGTGGTGTATCCTTGGTCATTAGTGAAATGCAAAAGCCCCAGTCAGACACCACTACACACCTATTAGAATGTCAAAGACCAAAAAGACAGCTCATGCCAATAAAAGAGACATGTGTGGATATGAGAGTAATCGGAGGGCCGGCAGGTGGCATGGTGGTTAAGGGCACTGGACACCCACGTGGCCGATCAAGGTTCGAGTCTCAGACCTGGCAGCTTGCTTTCTCACTTTCCCTCTCTCTGTCTCTCTCTCTGGTCAAATTTAAATAAATAAATAAATAAAATTAAGTAAAATAATTCTTTTTTAAAAGAAGAATTATTTATTTAATTCCATTTGTTATTGTTATTTTTTAATTTGACCAGAGAAAGAGAGAAAGGGAAAGGGAGGAAGCAAGCCTCCAGGTCCAGGACTCAAACTGCAGTTAGCCACGTGGGAATCCAGTGCTTCTAACCACCGTGCTACCTGCTGGCCCCAATAAAATAATTCTTTTTTTTTTTTCCTTCTTCTTCTTTTTGGAGAGGTTTTTGCTATAGGGTGCATGCGCTCGCCAGACAGACAGAGAGAGACAGAGAGACAGAAAGCAAGAAATCACCCCACAGGGGGGATGGCCACGCCGCAATCCCTTCTCCTCCATTCTCCTCTCGGGATCTTGGGCACGCATGTACACGCGCCCGGCGTGAGTTTAAGCCACCGGTCCAGGACTCGAACCATGGTCGACTACATAGGAGTCCAGCAACATAGCCATTGCGCTAACTGCTGGTCCCAATAAAATAATTCTTTAAAAAAAAGAGAGCAACTGGAGGACCAGCAGGTGGTATGATGGCTAAGGCGCTGATCTCCCACATGGCTGACCACAGTTCAAGTCCAGAGCCTGACAGCTTGTTTTCTCACTTTCTTTCTCTCTTGCTCTCTCCTCTTTCTCTGTCTCGTCAAATTTAAAAAATGAATAATGATGAATAAAATTAAATTAAAAATAATTCTTGAAAAAAAGAGCAAGTGGAATTCTTAGACGCTGCTAGTAGGACGATCAAATGACACAACCACATTTTTTATGACACAACCACTTTTTTTTTTTTTTTTTTTTTTTTGAGAGGTTTTTGCTATAGGGTGCATGTGCTCGCCAGACACCCTCCAGGGGGGAGGGCCACACAAAAACCCCTTCTTCTCCACTCTCTTCTCAGGATCTTAGGCACACATACACATGCGCCTGGTATTGAGTTTAAGCCACCAGGTCCGGGACTCGAACTGCTGTCAACTACATGGGAGTCCAGCGACGTAGCCATTACGCTAACTGCTGGTCCCCAGCACAACCACTTTGAAAAACACTTTGGGAGCTTTTAGTTAGACATTGTTAGTATGACTCGGTCATTCCATGCACAGGCATTTACCCAGGGAGGTGAACCCACACATCTGTACACCGACCCGTACACAAACGCTCACAGCAGCGTGATTTGTGATCACCAAACCCAACAACATGGGGATGGTGAATTTTACTTGTCGATTTGGCTAGGCTGTGGTGCCCAGCTGTTTGGGCAAATGCCAATCTAGCCGGTGCTGTGCAGGTAATTTTCAGATATGACTAACATTTAAATGACTAACATTTAAATTTAATGTGGGTGGGCCTCTTTCAATCAGCTGAAGGCCCTAAGAGGTGACTGAAGTCCCCTAAAGAGGAAGAAAGCTGACTCCTGACTGCCTTTGACACAGAACTGCGCCATCAGCTCCTGCCAGAAATTCCAGACCACTGGCCTGTCTTGGAGATCAGAATTTCCTAGCCCCCACAAACTCACAAGCCAGTTCCTTAAAATCAATGTGTGTGTGTGTGTTTATGTGTGTGTGTGTGTGTGTGTGTGTGTGTGTGTGTGTGTGCGCATGTTTGGTGAGTGTCTACATCTGCCTTGTTTCTGTTTCTCCGGGGAACCCTGGCTAATGTAAGTGTCCATCAACAACTGAGACGGGGTAGGAGAAGAGAAGACAGTGGCATAGGGGTAAACCATGACCCTCTGTGAGGCCAATCCACAGGGGGAGGTTCCAGGCTCCCTGAGTATGCCAGACACATGCATGCCCATGGCTGGGGCTGGCTGAGCTGGGGTGGACTGTGGCATCAGGACCCTATTGGGAATGCGGTTTCTCTGTCTCTCTCTTGGTCCTGGGATAAATAAATAAATAAATACACTTTAAAAACAAAAGCAAGGGACTAGAAGATGGTGCAATGGTTATGTCACTGGACTCCCACGTGGCCGACACAGAGGCTTGAAACTCATGCTGGGCCCGTGTGTGTGCATGGCCAAAATCCCAAAAGGAGAATGAAAGAGAAGGGATTGCAGGGCCGCCCGCGGGGCCGACACAGAGGCTTGAAACTCATGCTGGGCCCGTGTGTGTGCATGGCCAAAATCCCAAAAGGAGAATGAAAGAGAAGGGATTGCAGTGTGGCCACAAGTGATTTCTCGCTTTTTGTCTCTGTCTCTCTGTCTCTCCAGGAAGCACACATGCCCTATAGCAAAAATCTTTCTCTAAAAAAATAACCCAAAAACTGGAGCCAGCGGGTGGCATGGTGATTGGGGCTGCTGAACTCCCACATGGCTGACCTTGCAAGGTTCATGCCCCGGACCTAGTGGCTTACTTTCTCACTTTCTCTCTCTCTCTCTCACTCTGTCCCTCTCTGGTCAAATTAAAATAAATGAATGACTGAACAAATAAGGTTAAATTTTAAAATTTTTTCAAAACTAAAAAAACAAAAAACAAAAAATGGGGTTAGGGGGCCAAGAGGTTGCATGGTGGTTAATGCACTGGACACCTGCATCTAGTGACTTGTTTTTTCTCTCTTTCTTTCCGTCATTCTCTCTTTGGTGAACACACATGCCCTCTAGCAAATTTTTTAAAATAATAATAGTAAAGAAAATAAATAATTCTTTTTTTTAGAGGCTTTTTTGCTATCGGGCACATGCATTCGCCAGAAAGACAGAGACAGAAGGCAAGAAATCACTGCCCCCCCCGGGGGGGATGGTCATGCCTCAATCCCTTCTCCTCCATTTTCCTCTCAGGATCCTGGGCACACACGCACATGTACCCGGCGTGAGTTTAAGCCACCAGGTCCAGGACTCGAAGTACGATTGACTACATGGGAGTCCAGCGACATAGCCATCGTGCCAACTGCTGGTCCCAAAAATAAATAATAAAAAAAAAAGTAGAAAACAAATTGTGATATATCCATATGCTAACACTCAGAAAATAATATCCCAAAGCTCTGAATTAAAAGATACTGCAAAGCCTCCAATACAGCTTCAGAAGCGAGACCTTTCTGACCTTCTGCCCATCTTTGTCCTTCTCCCCTTTCTCCCCCAGGAAGGTCATAAAAACGACAATTCCTCTTCTCCAAGGCATGTCATAGAAACTAGAACCTGTTTTCTCTGAAACAAGCCATAAAACCTAGAAATATTACTCTAGGCTTCCCCGGCCTTTCTGTCTAGGAGCCGGCCATAAAGAAATTCTCTGACCTGTCTTTGTCTGACAGCAGATCTTAAGAGCGTGTTCCAGAGGGGTCTGGTCCTTACTCGGGGGGAAGATAGGTTAAGAGGAATGTGAACAGAGAGCCAGGCTGGCAGGGACTCCCCACTCCAGCTACTGCCGTTAGATTACTCCCTTTTTGCCCAGTCACATGTAGATGGTTGTCCACTCTTCACTGAATCCAAACATAGACATGAACAACTACTCCCTGGCCCTGTGGCCTAGTGCTTAAGGGAGCTGAATCCCACACAGTTGACTGCAGTTCAAATTCCAGTCCTTGTGGCTTAAAAAATGTCAGACACGTGTGCATGTGTGCCCCAAATCCCAACAAGATGGAAAAAAATGGAGAAAGGACTGATATGTGATCACACCCCATTGGGGGCGCTTGCTCCCTCTCTCCTTGTTCTCTCCGTTTCTCTCTCTCCCTCTGGCGAGCATACGCACCCTCTGACAGTTTAAAAACAAAAACAGGCAATTGTTCCTGTATTTATTCTTTATTGATGTCCCATGAAACTTAGATTAAGTAATTGTTAGCTTTTCCCTTGCTCACCTCTTTTGTTCTGAGTGTCAGCAGTGATCATTATGACGGGGAGGAAAACGGCCACATTTCTCTGTACCCGCACATGCAATAAGCTCAACAGTAGAACGAGGAGGCCAGCAGGAGATGTCGCAGTTAAGGTGCTGGACTCGCAGGTGGCCGACTGCAGTTCAAATCCTGGACCCAGTGGTTTGAAATTCACACCAGGCATGTGTGTGTGCATCCCCAAAATCCCAAAAGAAGAATGGAGAAGAAGGGATTGTGACGTGGCCATCTACCCTGGGAGGTGATTTTTTGCTTACTGTCTCTGTCTCTTCAGCATGCACGCGTGCCCTTTAGCAGAAATCTCTTTCAAAAAAAAAAGTACAAAGAGATGAAGTGTTTTTAGGTAGCGCATCATCGATGGGTCCCAACACAGGTATGGCTAATGAGAGCAAGAAGCAAACAGAGTATTACTGTATCATTTCTTTATGCGACATTCTCAAAAGTGCGAATGAACACAGAGTGGCATTGCACAGGCCAGTAGTTACCCGGAGATGAGGAGGGCCAGGAAGGAGGGCCACAAGAATCTCTGGGGTACCAAGCCTCCTCCCAGACTGTGTTTCCCTGCTACATAATGGACATGACCTTCTCCTTCATCTTCTCTGCACACCCTGGCTTAGAGATCACTCCAATGCCACGTTCACTTTCACCTAATGATTAGTCCCATGGGCTCCTCAATCCTCAGATCCACACTTCCTCCTCGGTCAGTTTCTGAACCTTCAGTGGTTCCCGCCTCCTGTCCTTATCGCCCTCTTTCTACCCCATAACTAACCCCTGGCGTCTATCCCAGTTTCTGTGCCTTCCCAGTCCACTCTCACCGGGTCCAGGACGCGAACCGCGGTCGACTACGTGGGAGTCAGCGACATAGCCATTATGCTAACTGCTGGTTCCCTATCCTGGTATCTCAATAGCTATGTCCTACTTGCTAATGTTTTTTAAATAGCTGCCTTTGAAAATCCTATACAAGGGGCTAGCAGGTGGCATAGTGGTTACATTGCTGGACTCCCGCATGGCTGACCATAGTTCAAGTCCCAGGCCTGGGGGCTTGAAAATTACAAGATCCCAGAAGGAGAATGGAAGAGAAGGGATTGCAGTGTGGCCAACCCTCCTGGGGAGTGATTTCTCATTTTCCCTCTCACTGTCTCTGTCTCTCTCTGTCTTTCCAGCAAGTGCATGCACTCTATGGCAAAAATAAAACCGAACAGAAAAATTTGTTTGCCCCTTCGTCGCTCCCTGCATTCGAGTATTAGAGGTGATGTGTTTCCTCCTGGAACAGGGTACTGTCTCCTCTCAGCGTGCTCAGTCAGTACTGAATCCGGTTCATCAAGGGTTCCCGCAACACACTGCTGTCCAGGCCCTAAGCCACTTCTGCTACAACGAAGCTGTTGTTCGGATATAGAAGCTGAAGTTGAACATCCATAGGGAGTAAACCCTTAGATTAGGGTCTTTCCCCTTCGAACTGCAGCCTGTGACAGAAGAGTAGGATTAGCAAAGTGTGGGACAGTCTCTTACCGCTTCCTGGGCTATCTCATTTCTGCACAGAACAGATCTGAAGAGCCCAGTGGTTCATCAGCCCAGCTGGAGACTGGAAGGTGGGTAAGGGGCACTTGTCTATGGAGGGAGAGATTGAACTTTCTGACCCCCGACACTGTCAAACTTGCTTCAGAGCCTTAGAAGAAACATTTGGCGGGACCAGCAGTTAGCTATGTTGCTGGACTCCCATGTAGTTGACCGTGGTTCGCGTCCCAGACCTGGTGGCTTAAAACTCATGCCGGGTGCATGTGTGCCCAAGATCCCGAGAGGAGAATGGAGGAGAAGGGATTGTGGTATGGCCATCCCCCCTGGGGGGTGATTTCTCGCTTTCTATCTCTCTGTCTCTCTTTGTCTGTCTGGCGAACGCACGCGCCCTATAGCAAAAACCTCTAAAAAAAAAAAAAATGTGGCAAGGCTTCTGGTTTCTCCCTCTAAAATGGAAACGGCGACACATCAGAGCTCCCAGATCTGTAAGTTAGCGATGGGGCAGGAGCCCAGAGCTGCACGTGAAACTGTGATAAGTCAGAGCTTGGGAAGGGCGTCTCTCCAGCTGTCAGCTGTACCTGGCAGGCATCTGTCTGCACCACCACCAGTGTGAGAAGGAGCCTCAGTCACCTAAGATGGGGTCAGAACCTCCTCACCAACCCAACCAGCCCCGAGGATGAGGATTCAGCTGGGCTCAGCGCCAGCCCCAAGGGAAAGAAACTCTCTTGTGTCATCTCAGACCAGGGACTTTGTAGACCGGCTACCGTTGGGACAATGCGGTGAGGTGGGAAAGTTACTTCCCCTCTGGAGAGCTTCCACTGCTTTCCTCCCTGAGTTAATGAAAACTGCTTGCCAATACAGGCCAGCTGGTGCCGCTGTGGTAACAACACTCTGTGATGCTGGATTCACGTGGGAGGGCCCTGGGTTTGCGTCCTGAGGCCTCTCCTTGCACGCTGGGTGCGTGCATGTGTCAGTGATCCAGGCTGGCTGAGGCTGGGGAGTGGATCATGGCATGGGGACCCTGTTGGGGGGAGGGGGTGTCTCTCTCTCTCAAGAGAGAAGTTAATTCTAAAACACCCTTGAGAATAAGCTCCTTTTGCTCTGTTTCTCTCTGTAATTTTCTCCAAGGGGGCACACATGTGCTGGGGAGAATGACTTGAGACACGGCCACGCTTAATGCCCACCCAGCCGCAGCTGGTCTCTCTACACTGCAGTGGCTACTTCTCAATCCAGCAAAGTGGCTCATTCTAAGAACTCACGTTGCTGGGCACCTGCTGCCCAGCGTCCTTTAACCCTCTTTGATGGGGACACTGCAAGGCAGAGTATCCAGCCAGGGGCACCCAGCCCATAAGGAGCTGGTCAGAACAGACACGGACCTGCCTGCCTTCAAAACCTGAGCTACTTCTCCCACAGCCCGCGGGGTCCTGACTCCATCCACGCCAAACTTTTGCAAAAGCAGCAAATTGCTGGTGCTTAATGCTGGCCGAACCACAAGTCTCCCCCTCTCCGCCTCTCCCCTTCGTTAAACATTCCCTGTCCACCACGCCATTTCCCCTCTCCTCTCTTCCCACCCCTGCCGCCCTTACCATGTAGCCCCCTGATCTCCTGACCCCAGTCTACCTGGTAACCTGCACCAACCAGTAAGCAGAAGCCCCTCGGTGAGGACGAAAGAGCCTCTGCCCACCTAGGGCTTCTACATGCTCAGTCCACCCAGAATGAGGGCGCATGCGTATTCAGGAGGACCAAAGGTCCGGTTGAGAAGGGTTACTTATTACACAAGTTTTTTACTTGCTTCTTTTGTGCTCCATGCCACAAAAGATTGTGAGTCAAACTATAACATGAGGCATCTGAAGGTCTGCGATTTTCACACGTTTCCAACACCACCTGGCTAGGCAAGACCCAAGGTGTGTGTGAGGCGAGGCCTGGCCTTGACCCTGCACTGTGCCTGGTGCCTTCCAACTTCCGGCTGTTGGTGCAACCAGAGCAGCCAACACCTCAGCCTTGGTTCCTGCTAGACGCACCCTCGGGCAAATACACATGCTCGGTAAGAAGCCTTACTGCTCGTGCGCAGACCCTTTTCCAGTGTAACACAGAGTGGACAGTAGGAATTGAGCCAACGCGACTCCCACGCCGGAAAAGGCTTCTAAGTAACAGGCAGTCCGGGATATGGGGTAGTCCTGGTGGGAAGGTGCTTTCGATTTTCCAATTAATTACTTATTCTAAAAATTCATATTTCTGCAGAAGATTTTTAACCTGTTCACCATACCTGCCCTAGGCAGTTGATCTAAGAAAACACATTAATTTAAAAAAAAAAAAAAAACAGATTCAGAAGCAGGAAGAACATTGCCTCTGGAGCACCCACAATGAACAGCTGTCCCCACGTCCCCTGGGGTGGCACACGCTGGTGCTCATTTGACCAGGGCTATGGATTGCAACCACAGACAGTGCAGAATCGAGCTCGGAGGGCCCATGACACGCCTGTGGAGAGGTTTAAGCTCTGGAATGCTCCCAGTCTCTGTGTTCTCAGGCAGGAGAGACAGTAGGCCGGCTGACCACCCTGAGCAGAGGCCTCTCTGCGGGGCACCC